CTAATCTCAGTTTTCTTTTCAACTTCAGGTGATTCTTCGTTTTTTGACATAGTTATTTGGTGCATCTTTCTACACAGAAGAATATGGTGTTTTTTACCACAACACAAGCAACCAACTTTCAAGTTACAATCCTTGACTGAATGTCCAGATTTCAAACATAAAAAACACTTGTGAGATTGTTGAACCAGTGACTCCCTCTGCCTTAAAGGTATTTTTTTTTACTTTTAGACAGTCTCCAGAAAAATGTGAATTAGAACAGAATATGCACTGTTTTGATACTTGAGATGAAGTTAGAAGGTCTGTTGCACTAGGTATATTTGAAAACTTTCTACTCTTACATTTGTTCTCTATTACCTTTTTCTCATAGGAAAGATTATGTTTTACTTCTGCTTTTGGTTTCGATGTTGTTGAAACTTTGAGAGGCTAAAAAAATGCGTTCTTCAGCTTCGACTTCGGCTTGTAAAAATTCTAAAATGCATTCTAAATCACTTTTCTCAATTATAGTTTTACTTTCGTCTGAATCATCTAAATTCACTTCTCGAATTCTACGATGAGCAGATCTATAGCGCTGCCAAGCAACAAGAGTTTCTTCGGGTAATGATGATTCAACTAGTGGAAAAAGCATTGCAGCATATTTTTCCCTAGTAACACCTAATAATTCAAGTGATCGCAGTTTACTCTCAAGTTGATCGAACAATTTTCTTAATGAATTTTTAGAAGTGTTCTGTTTTTGAAGAACTAATACTAATAAGTCTCTGACATATACCTGAATCAATAGTTCCTCTCTGCCGAAACGCATTTTCAGCTGTTTTAAAGCTTTTTCGTAACTATTACCCCCTGGGGGATAGCTCTTAATTAATTCTTCAGCAGGACTGCCTTTTTCCATTGCTTGAGATAAATACGAAAATTTATCGTGAAAATCGATATTAATGTCCTCATCAATTTTTTGAAACTGACCCCAAAAGTATAGCCAATTTCGTACACTACCGTCAAAAGTAGGTAATTTTATTTTTGGGTAACGTAATAAAGTGTTCGGCTGCGAAACAATGTTCAAATTTTCATTTTTAGAAGATAATTGTTCACTCACTAGTAGTGTTTCTAGCTTCTGTTTTAAAGATCTCCATCGATCAATATACATTTCTGACTCATCTACCGCTTTCTCTATTTCGGTATCGGAAGTATTTTCAGAATACAACAAATGTTTATATTTCTCTTCACATGCTATCATTAATAAAGCTTTCTCTTCAATTAGCTTTAATTTATTAATTTTATCAGCACGATTTAATTTGATTTCTTCCTCATCAAAAGTATTACATGCTCGAGTAAACAACCTTCTAAGTTGCTTTCTATCTTTCAAAACAATATCCATAATGCACAAAGAATAAAAGAAAATATAAAATATTTTTTCACTCACTCTTAAAAATGCAGCCGTAGTCCTGTCTCTTGGACGCCAGATATCCCGTTTTACCTTCGATATCAGAAGAATTATGATGGAAAATGAGTATACAATCAATTATCCAATGAAAGACATCTCGTCACAACACAAACAGTTTAATATTACAATTCTATTTACAAGTCTAATTAAGTGTTAGTTTTAGCTTTGACACCTCAAAGCAATACTCAGAACATAAATGGCATAAAATATTACTCATCAGTTTTTAAATACTCATGAAAAACATCTCAAAAAGTCATTATTCTCATTACTTAAAACGAAAGTAAACAATAGAACAAACTCGAAAACGTAGATGTAAAAACTCAACTGTTGCCAATCGCGATTTACTAAATTACATCAAAATAAAGATAATAATCAGGTAGAGGTTCAACTTCAATCTGCAAGAACTATGAAGTGCTGCAATATTATCATTAATAAAATCAATGAAATTTGGCATTTATTTTTTCTAATTAAACCTTATAGTCATATTCAACGATGCAGCAAGTTAGAGTGTTAATTTATTTATTGATTGTTGAAAATATATTAATGAACGTATATACAAATGTTTTTCATCATGCATAATAATAAATCCATAAATTTCTAATGTTTCAATATGTAGCATTTACAATAAAAGTATAGTTTCTAATGTACTTATAATCCAAAAAGTATTTCATTAATAACATGAAAATAATAGACTCCTCACAACACAAACAGTGTAAGAAAGTAAAAAAAGAAAAGCATAGCTTATATAATAATGAGTACAAACTCATTATTATATAAGCTATGCTTTTCTTTTTTTATGCATCTTTTATGCTGTTTAAAATGTGTCACTGATTATGCAATTAACAATTTAAAGGATAAGTAATTAGGAGAAAAGCAGCGCATATACAAACGGATTTTAAAAAAAATATTCAACTTAAATTTAAGAAATAAAATTCTATTATATAACAGTGATAATATACGATCAGCACGAAATACGACAAATTTGGCGACGAACAATTTGTAAACAAATCCGAACTGAAAGAACGTCGTAAAATACTGTCAACTCTGAAATTTCAACGATTATATATTTAATGAATATATAAACATTTTAAAAATGACTGAGGCAGTTATATTACAACAAAACAGCAATAATTAAATCGGCCTCTATTTCTACCGTCCATGACTTCACAGTGAGAGCCATCGCCATATTGAAAGTTACCTGTGATCCTTTAGAAGCAGAACTTTCGTCTGATTGGTTGAACATTCGAGGAACACATCTCCAGCTGGAACATTTTCGGAAATGTTTTAAAATGTTGCTCGTAGCCGGGATATGTTCCTCCTAGCTAGACGAAACATTTCTCGGAAGCCGCCCGCTTAAAACAGTGCTGCTAGAATCTCGTTTCTCGGAATTGTCCCGCGTAACCACGTGCGTCCCTAGAAATGATAGCCTCTTAAGAGAGTCCGAAAACATCGGGTTCCTGTTCTGCAATTAGAATCAAACGCCGCTGCAGGTCATCTGGCATATATTAACTAATGAGACAAAGCAAGATCGCTGTTGTTTATCTTGTTCGTCTCGCCAGTGAGTAGCGTAAGTTTCACATACTTCCCTGAAACAGTTTAAGAAACTGTGATTTTGCGTTAGTTATCTGTGCTAAAAATGTAAAATGCTCATGTACTTTTCAAAAATGGTACACAGATGACATTCCTTCTTATTTCGTCAAGGAAAGGTAATATTGCAATTTGCATCGTTTGCCATTGTGATTTTTCGATTTTGCTTGGTGGAAAGACCGATGTTCTTAAACATGTGCATACACAAGGACAATGTGAGTTGTACTGGGGGAAAAAATTAAACTTTTCTGTGGAAACAAAGGACCAAAAAGTTAATAATGGAGCATACCTGTTCTCTGCCTTTTTACTGGAGTGCAGCCTGCCTCTGAATGCATCGAATCATGTTGCAGCTTTTTTAGAAAAATGTTTCCCGGCAGTAAAATCGCTAAGAAATGATAAAGTGCAAAAACTGTAAAAGGTTTTTAAACGTTTTTATTTTCAGATGTTAATTAGTTACTATTTAAAGTTACATCATTAAAAAATATATAATTTCTTTCTACATATTTTTATCATTCAAAAAAATCTCCTGATTTTTTAGTGTTGTAGGTTGGCAATTATGCAGTTACTAAAAGCAGCGATGCCTGGAGAAGACCAAGGCCCACCCGAGGCCAGTACAGTGAAGTGGTTTTACATGCAAAACTTGCGGATGTTTTTCCTGTAGCAAATGCATCTTTTCCTGATAACAGTTTTTTTTTTTTTTTTTTTTTTTTTTGAGTAGATATTCAGTTCTACTTCATTTTGTCTTGGAAAAGAAGTATATTACTGTTGCAACTGATAAACTGCAGTTACAGTTTTGCAGTTTACAGTTAGATAAAGTTATGTAACCAGTAAAGATTGATACCCAATGAAATTTCATTGAAAATGAATTTTAAAGTACAGTGAACTGTCTAGAATAATTTTGGTCATCCTGACCATTCTCCATAGTAATGCAGAGTGTGAGAGAATTTTTCTGTGTTGTTACTAAAACAAAAACTAAATTTAGATTCATTATTAGTAATGACACATTAGCAAAAGTAGGCCTACGTGGCAATTGCTATGAACAAATCTCTTTCTTAATGAAAGTAAAATTTGCCACCAAGGCTAGCATTTATGAAACTGATTAAAGTATTTTTTTATTAAAAGGTACAAATAATCAAATTTTTTAACATGTAAGTATTTTTGTACTATTTTCATTTGAGTCCACCAGCGGCCGAGCGGTTAAGTCGCTGAACACTGGTAGTTCGGTCCGAGGTTTGAATCCCACTAACGGGCTGGCTGCATGGGTGTTTTTGTGGTTTTCCCCATGTGTAATGTGTATACGAGCCAGTTTCCCTTAGAAAGTCCTCCACGAAGGCATCCCTCCCCTTAGGCAGATAGCCCTAGTGTGCTTTGTCGTAATTAAGTACACCACCACACCACTATTTTCATTTAAAAATTAGTATTTGAACTTTCAGATATTTATTAGTTACTATTTGAAGTTAATTAATTCATTATTAAAAATATATGTTTTCTTTCTATATATTTTTATCATTTAAAATTATTTTTTTGTCATGGGAAAACTCTTCTGATTCTTTAAAAAAAAAGAAAAACCCACTTGGTTTTTTAGTGTTATAGGTTGGCAGAATAGATAGTTATTTAAAATCCATACTGAACTAAGGTTGCTTTTTTGTCCAATTATAAATGGTGACTGAAATCTAAACCGCGCTGTTTGGTGACTTAACTCCTTCCTTAGTGAAATTTCTATCTTGCTTGTCAATTTTTGTAATTTATTTTAACTTGGCAACTTTAGTATAAAAAAATTATTGTGATCTTATTAACTGCAAATTGGTGGAACTTCAGCAGATCAATAACAATTTACGAATGATAACATTAAATGTTACCATTCACTGATCATCCTCAATGTTACTTTATGCTGTGATCTACTGTACCTACAATATTTATAATATGAAAGAATTAAAAAATTATTCTCTCTAATTAAATAAAATTATTCTCTTAATAGGCATCAGCAGAATGGATGTGTAATAGCACGCAGCAGCCAACCTAGAATGGGAATTCTAAGCTGGCGTAATGCTAATGACGAGAAATTAATCCAGGCAATCTCTGATGCATGTACTAGTGATCCAGGCTATGAGATAAAAGTCAATGGCAAGGAAGAATCTTATTCTCTTCAGAGTGATCTCGATGGGGATGCTTCTTTATTTTGCAGTAAGAAAATTTTCGTGTTCTCGACTACTGTTTTATTGCACAGACGTATCAATAAATTTCAATCATTAAGAGATACATTTAATTATTTGGTAATCGTGCAATATGTGATCTGCTTTTATTTACCTAGTTTTTTTTTTATTTTATTTTTGCCATTTTATTGTACATTCCAATATGAAAGCTATTGAAATTTTTATTTTATGAAGCTGTTGTTGTTATTGAATTATGAATGTATTGAAAGTTCAGTTGACTAATGTGAAGAATAAGGGGCACGCCAAATTTGGCAATTTGCATGTTATATAATGATTTTAGCTGGTTATTTTTTTGCTTGGGACAGTGACTGATGGTACTAGGAGTTTTATGGTAAACAGCGCTTATTTTTAATGCTTTTTACAAAGCGTCTCCTTTTTTCATTTGGGTCAAATTCCATTGCATAATCAGATAATTCCTATGCCTTTTTTAACAATATCTTTAATTTCTTGTAGTTAAAAGAGCTTCATCGTTTTTCATTATTGCTGCTTTCACTTTTGGCTGGTGTTATAAGACTATTTGTTCATTTGATATTTCATGGTTAATTCTATGACTTCTCTTTCTTCCATATCTGAAAATCCTTCACTACCAATTGCTTGTGCATTTTGTACTCTTTCTTTGGCATCATTTTCAGTCACTGGGAATCCTTTAACCCTTTGACGGTTATGGAAATGAGCAGTTTCCATTTACTTAATTCGTGCAGCATTAGGAGTAAACAGTAGTCGAAAGTGGCAGCTGTTTTCCCCCGCCGTTCTTCCGAAAATGTCACCTTTCTCTGGCGATGCCGTAGATAGCTCGCCTTGCGCATTTTAAAAATTTCTTAAAGTATTTGTAGTACATAAATAACAGTTTTTACATACTTTAAAATAATTATTAAACAGTAAATTATAAATGATTATAACCAATTGTATAAATAATAATAGTTAATTATAAATATAAGACAAATATTAAATTGAAAGGACTAAATAAATACAACTAATGTAAAACTTTATGAAGCACAGTATAAATACAGTAATTACCTAAAAATCTTTTTGTGTGTGATATACTTTAAAACATGGAATTGCACATAATGGGGCATTACAGTCTTTGCAATACGTACGTGTTTCACGGCGAATTCTTTTTCCATTAGCATCATTTTTGCTGCAACATACCACACATCGTCTAGTAGGTTCTTTCTAATAGAGAATTTCAGAAATATTTGTCACGCAAGCTTTCATGCCTACATCACCAGTAAAACTAAATCGGCTAGGAGCGTGAGAACTTGAATCAATTATACACCACTGTCGAACACTCGAAAAATCTTCCTCATCGCTTGAATCGTCTTCTGAGCTTGAAATACTGTGAACAAAGTCTTCATCAGATTCAAAACTTGATAAGCTTTCTGTATCACAATCATAATCATCATCATACCTATCTAACTTTCGCTTTTGAGCCATTTTACTGTACAAACACTCTAAAAAAATGCGCCAAAATACGTATAAAAGGAACAAGGTCAAAAAAAAAAAATCCACCTTCATTATGCAAAGGAATTCATGGAACTCGTACTGCCATCTGTAGACAGTAAAACTAACTAAATTTCACGAGTAGCATTCCTTTGAAACACAATCAGTGCAGAATAATAATGGGGAACGAAGTCAGCTCATCAGCGTGCATTGGGGGAAAATTTCACTACGTGAGTAGTGCTCGTTACTAACCATTTCGGTCAAAATCTTGCTCCCGATCGGAACTCGTTTGTGCGCATTATGAAGCACGATTCGATTGCGAGCTGAACTCGTTCATAACCATCAAAGGGTTAAAATTGTTGATATTGAATGAAATTCTAGTATTAAACAAATTAAATGGAAGCAACTGAGATTTACATTTATATGCAAAATTATGTTCCACAAATCCTTGCTTGGCAAGTGCTTACTTACCGTAGCACTTGATTAGAAATGTTTCAGTACTGTCAGTTTGCTTGTGTTTTATTCACCAGACACTCATACTTTTTGGTTTCAGTGGTAAGTAATTATAATTACTACGTAAAATAGTTTGTGTAGGGGACAAAATAGCTGTTTTGGAAGGAGACTGGTCATAGGAGCGAATTTTTTTTTTAATTTTGAAAAATACAATTGTTTGTCAGTTGCAAAGGAGCATGGGATTTTTTAAATGAATTTTAAAGCAAACAATTGAGAAAATAGATAAATATTATATATTACAAATAAAATATGTATAAGCTTGTTGAGCAGATTTTGATTGAAACAAAACGAGTAATTGTTCCAAACATTTTCATAGGGGTTGTTTGGGGGATGGTGGGAGGAGTCCATAGGAATATTAAATGTAAATTGAACTAGTATTTCTATCTAATAAGCAATGTACAATCATATTTTTAGAATTAATTTACATCTGTAAATTTGTATAAGTCATTTGCAAGCTTTGATTTGTTATTGTTAAATATACTATAAAGGAAGCTCTCTTTTATAACTTAAGTTTTATAAATTATTTGTAGGTCAAGATCAAGTAAAACCTACTCAAAAGAAACTCCTCATTATTGATGCTCGATCTTATGCTGCTGCAATGACGAATAGAGCTAAAGGAGGAGGCTATGAATGTGATGGTTATTATTCAAATTGTGAAATTCAGTACATGGGTCTTGCAAACATTCATACCATAAGGAATAGTTTTGCATGTGTCCGTGCTCTATGTGCTGCCCCTGATGACAGGTAAAATCATTTCCTGTGATTAAAAATTTTTTTAAAGGAAGCCTTTTATATGTCTATGCATTTAAGTGCTATCTTTACAATTAAAATTATAAAGAATCTGTATGTATGGTTCTCACATTGTGGAATAATGATGACATCTCGAGCCACTAAATTTTGAACATACATATTCCTCCTCCTGAACAAGTACACCTCAAAGCTAGAATTTTTAATTTCAAAATTTTTTTTTTAACTTTGTATTATGTGAATTTTTTTTAACTGTTAACTAAAAGTTTTATTTGTGGCCACTGCAAAACATAAGTGTTGAGGTTTCAAATTTAATTGAAAAACTCAGTGATAAAAAAAGAGTGTTTAAGCAAAATGCAATATATTTGACTTTTAGTATGGAGTAATGGTGGCTCTTATAGCCAGCCACCAGATTTTGTACATACATAATCTCCAACCCAAGCATGTGCACCTTTAAGGCCTTCCTTTTGAATTTTTATTTATTTATTTCATATATTGTGCAAATTTTAGGAATTTTTGATTAAAAACTCGGTGATATAAAAGCTTTGTTTTGCTGCCCAGCAAAGTGTGCGTCACATTTAATCAGAAAACTTAGCGCTGTTAAGTAAATATGTTTCCACTGACAAAATGCAAAATATTTTTCTTTCGAATTTAATCAATGAACACAGCAATCTGACCTTTAAAATTACATTAGCTGGATTCTTTAAAAAGTCGTTATATATCTTTTTCTCTTTTATAATAACTATTTCAGGCTGCTGGCTGTGTGAGTAGCTAGTACTTCAAATGTTTTATTTTGAAGTAGTAAATCAATGAGTAAAACCTTTATATATTTTGCAAAATTCATAATTTATTATTTTAGATATAACTAAAAATTTACCCTCAATTTTTTTTTTTTTTTTTTTTTTTTATGTTTTGCAAAATTTATAATTTATTATTTTAGAGATAACTAAAAATTTACCCTCAATTAATTTTTTTAAATTATCATGTATTTAAGGGTTACTTTATGTTCTGATAACGTTCTGCTATAATGTTAAATTTTGTGTAGTTCTTATGATTTTTTTTTAAATTTTATAAACAGTAAGTAGGATGGTGTTTTTATTTTAATGTTTCTTGATGCTTTTAATTCATAGTCATAATTTTTTTTTTTCAATCCCAGTTGGCTGTCATCGTTAGAAAACACCAAATGGTTAAATCACATTTCGGGCCTCATCCGGGCTGCTTTATTAGTTGTTAATTCAGTTGATGTTGAAAAGAGGCCCGTTTTGGTGCACTGTTCTGATGGATGGGATAGAACGCCGCAAATAGTTGCTCTTGCTGAGATTATGTTAGATCCTTATTACAGAACTAAAAAGGTAAATTTAGAAACTTCATTTCGTAAAATCTGTGCCAAATTTTAAAGCAGCATTAGCATTAAAACCTTGTTATCTCAAATAAAATATGAAATGTTAAGAGAAAACTTGAGCTAAATTAAACTGTATTAATGTATGGTAGCATTTATTAGTATCTGAGAAAATAATGACATTGAAAAATATCTAAAATTATTTCATGACCTTTTTATGAGTTATATTTCTGTTGCTTTAAAGTAGATGTGAGACAGAAGCATGTTGTATGTAGTTTATTTTTGGAAATATTAATGTATAACTTTGTAATTTCACATATTAATTTATCTGTTTCCTTTAATGAATTTTTACTTGGTTCAGGGATTTCAAGTTTTAGTTGAAAGAGAATGGCTTCAATTTGGCCATAAATTTGCTGACCGTTGTGGACAGTCTGGTGGCACAGAAGACAGGAATGAAAGAAGTCCAGTATTTATACAATGGCTGGATTGTATATATCAACTTCTGGAGCAGTTTGAATGCCATTTTGAATTTAATCAGCAGTATTTGGTAAGTTGAATATATCCAATCAAAAATAATAAAAAATTTCATAATTTGGGAAAATAATTTTTTTTTAAAACTGTAAAGAAACCATCTTTTAGGATTTTATTGTTTTCATTTTGTAGGCTGGTTTGATGTTCTCAGAAAATAAAATGTTCTTTCACTTGAAAATATTTATTGCAGGTCATGTACAAGTTATCTACTGAAACAAATGTACAGATCTCCACGTGGTGTTAATTTATTAAAAAATAATAATATTGTGCCATTTTTTCTCGTACTCTTTGGCTTTGCTGTTTTGAACTGTTCACTTTCAAATCTAAGATTCTGTTTCTGTATCTCTTAACTTCTGGGGGAGTAATAATGCATAATTATGATTTATATGTTAATTTTTTCTTAATGCTCACTGGTAAATATGTAGACTGTTATCTGAAGTTTTGATGATGTGATTTTTTATTTATTGTACTTATTATTATTCTTAAGAGAAATATTTAATTATCCTAATTTCTGTTTCCTCCACTGAAACTTTGATCTGTGTGCTAGTATGTGTTTGTTATAAATGTATGTATGCACTTAAACAAAATATTTTTTTTTTGTTTTTGTCTAGGCATTCTTTGTTTGCATATCTGTTTGTTCTGTTCTTGTTTGTATTGCCAAAAAATGAATTGGAGTATTCATCATTTTGTATTAAAAAGTAGCTTCTTTAGATTTCCGTATTTCATTGTTTTTATGTAGAGAGAATCATAGAGTATATAATTTTTAACTCTGGGTTATCGTATATTTTCTACCGTAAGAAGATATTGAATACATATTTATTATCTTTGAGATTTTGCCATTTAAAGCTGATTTTCTAGTTGTGAATTAATAAAGTATACTAGTTACTCAAAAGTTTTTAAAAAATTATTTTCTCTTTTGCAGTTTTATGTTACACTCGGGGGGGGGGACTTCAGATTGTAAAAGGAAAAATTTGGGTAGCTCGTTAAGCCCCCCCCCAAATGCTGTGTATGATTAAACTGAAGGTTGTTATACTAGAAACAGCAGTATGTACTTTAAGAACCATCATTAAGAGTTGAGCATTAGAGGAACCCAAATGAGACCCATAAAATATGTTAACTTTTGGGAGATGATTGTATGGGTGTTTCAGATGTTCAAACTACTGGTATGTTGTGGGGTTCTAGTTTGACATTTTAGTTTCTGTTGCACAGTACAAAATCTGAAATCTGGATGTCCAATATCTGGAATGATCTAAAATCCAGATCACGCACGCCCCCCTTTTTTTTAGAACTTTGTTTGTCTGCTTTATGCAGTTGATATTTTTTCATAATAAAACATGGAATGTCCTGATTCTTAATTTCATGTTGGCACTAAATAAAATGCTCTCATATTAAAGAAACAAACAAAATCTATATCATTAATAGCCACCTTTTTGCTTGGCATACATTTTAAATTGGACCTACTGAATAATTTATATCCCCTTGTGTCAACCTAGACAAATCATTGTTTGTTATATTTTTTTACTTTCATCACAGCAGTCGTAGCAACACATTCATTATAGCATCACTATCAACATACACCAGCTTGAGAAATAACCCACACAATGATGTCTAAACATTAAAAAAAAAAAAAAAAAAAAAAAAAAAAAAAATTTATAAGTAAATATTAAAGAGCATGGTAAGCTTTTATGTTAACATTATGCTTGGCAGTATAGACTTTAGGTAATTGTAGTGTGATGTGTTGAGTGTATTGATGAGGAGAAATTTAACAGAATTTTTTTTCCATATGAAAAAAATTTTGTAAATGATACAAAAATATTACATGTAGTTCTGCTTGAATTCACAATTACTGATTTTTTATTCAGATAAGCCCCAGACTGGCATCAGAGCTGGTGTGGCCACACCAGGCATCAAAATTTAGAGGAGGCAAAATTTTTAGAATTTAGGGAAGCATTGAGCAACAAAATTAAGGGCAAAATTAGGAGAGAATTTAGGAAAGGGCTTTTCAGGACATGCAGAGACTGCATTGTTCCACAAAATGTCTGGATAAGCCTTAGGTTATGTGGAAACTTATTTATTCAGTATTTAGATAAGCCTTAAGCATGTACAGGAAGTAAACATTAGTATAATAAATAACTAAACTAATACAATTTGATCTTAACAGCAACAGCATGCTGTAGAAGCAAGACAAAGTTTAGCAGATCAGCATGTCTTTAGTCTCCAATTTTGTGATACATCGCTAGTAGTGTATAGATGTTAACTAGACCTTATGATGATAGCCACAAAATTGAAGATTTTCATATTTCACCAACAATCCCTGGTGTCAACCTAGACACAAAACAAAATTTTCCTATTAATGGAACTTATGAAGAAATATAGAAAAGTGGTAATAAAAGAAAATGATATAACAGAAGTTTTTCGTTGTGATAACAATGTCCCAAGCATCGGTCAACTAACGTATGGCAAAATCTGTAGTATGGTTCTAAATCCAGAAAACATTCCTATCAATAGTGACAGAGAGATTGTTGAGAATTAAAAAAAACTTGATTGACAATTCAATGGGAATCCTTGTCACGCCAATTACAAAACTTGAAGAATGAAACTTTGTAGCTGAACAAGAAATTATGCCAATCTATGGAAACGAAGAGGAAGTATTAGCACAAAAAATGAAGCAAATTAAACGACTTTCATTGATAAGATATATTTAATAAACAAGAAAAAAAATATATATTTAGCTTTCTTTTGTAAATTTCACTTCCCTTGAGGTCATAAGTGGTTCATTATTTCATGAATCACTATTTCATATTTTTAACTTTATAATTTCTACATATCATCTTATTAGATTTAAATTGATGATTCAGTTTCCACAAAGGCATCCCTTTCCTAAGGGAGATAGCCCTCATGTGCTTTGCTGTAATTAAATAAACTAATCTGGCGAGTCTATATCTCAGATTTTGTACTGTATTGTTACATTTTCTCATTTGATAGTGTCATCACAGCTTTTCTGAAGTGGGAATGCCAACGAGAGACTACTGTATAGATATAATCAATAAGTGCACCTTTATACGATATTTTGTTGAATACTGTTTCCAGTTGTAAAACTAAAACATTTAATTATTTCATTGTAATATTTCTGAATTTTAAATTAATAAAAAATGTATTTATCAAATCAATGATATTTTATTTTTAATGCTTCAGTAGTGTAAGAGGATTTGTGAAAGGAAAATATAGGATATGGGTTTGCTTGCTAGTTGGCTGAGTGATTTTTCTCTATATGAGCTTTTCCCTTTCTTTAAATGATTGTGTTTTTCATTTTTATCTTAGTGTTCCTATTGCTTTTGTTAAAGATTAAGAATTTTCTTTTGTATTTGCAGGCACGTTTAGTTCTACATACTTATTCCTGTTTATTTGGAACATTTTTATGTAATACTGACCAAAGTAGGAATGCTTATAAAGTGTCCAATAGAACATTTTCTGTGTGGCCAGTGTTGAACGAAAAAAGTCAATTCCACAACTACCTTTTTAATCATAGTAATGAGGTGAGTTCTTATTAATTTGGGGCTATTAAGGCAGTATATTTTTAATGATTACTGGAATAAAAATATTTTATGTATTAACATAAGTATTAAAAAAATCATTGTGAAATTTTTTATTGATGTTCACACTCTGTTTCTTATTTTATCGTAACTGTATAATATTTTATTTATGTGGTTTATGTTATGTGAGCATTCTGCATAATTCGGGTGTATTTTAGAAGACTAGTTATTGCATGAACTAAGTGAAACAATAAATTATTTTATTTTTTATCTAGTTCCCCCCCCCCCCATGGAATAACTGTCTATTTTGTAAACTAATGAATGATAGTCAGATAAGTGTAAAATAAATTTACAGTTTAACTGAATTACTTGACATACAGAATGTTATTTATACAAAGATGCAAATCATTTGCTACAACAGGGTTTAATAAAATGGCATTTGGAATGGCATAGACCATTAATTCTAACATAAATACACATTTTGTTGACACTGCATTTTACTTGAACATTTTTTACACACACACTGAACCGTACCTTTAAGCTGTAGTCACTAACTGGAACAATTTCTATATAGCTAGCATTTGTGAATACACTGTATATACTTTCCTAATGGTATTATTTAATTCCCCCCCCAAACCAGCACCTTTTTATTAGTTTGAAACTTTTATCAGTTTTGAAGTACTTTTTGCAGTTAAAGCACCTTGTAATTGATCTTTTTCACCCACATGAATCAAATCTTCCTTCGAAATAGGAACTGTTGAGCTGCACAACAGAGCATACACTTTTATTACCAGAGTGGAACGCTCTGTTTTCAAGAAGTGAATAAACTAACTGTTACTCAAAGAAGTGTATTGGTTTCTTGCATAAATGTTTTCAACCTGTTTTCTGTATCCTGATTTGCTGTCTCATCACTGCCCCTTGGCTTTGGCTACATCTTGGTTTGCTGTGTATGATCATAAGCTCTGGCCAGGTTACTTTTCAGTTACCCATAAAGCTATTGCAAAATTCTGTTATAAACATATAAATCTATTATATACTCCATAATGTTAGGGGCTTAAATCAGCAGGAATGTTTTAAGCAAAAGCAAATGTGTTACTCCTGCTCTCTTTCTTTGAAGGTGTCTTAATACTTTCCATGTTTTTAAATGAAACAAAGAACACCGTGAATTATTTGATCTTTATCGATTTGTTTGACGATGTTCCACCAAATGTCAGGCACAACATACGATTCCAACATGATGCTCATTTTGGACTAGATGTTCGTAGCTATTTGAACAGAACATTCCCGCGTCAATGGATTGGGCGTGGTGGACCAGTTCCCTGGGCCCCCACGCTTACTGGATTTATTGATTTTTTTTTTTTTTTTTTTTTTTTTTTTTTTTTGGTGGGAAGCCATCAGAAGTGTTGTGTATCACGATCTTGGTGTGTCTGAAATGGATCTCATGGCAAGACTCGCTTGCACAGCTGCTTCAATCAAAGAAACTGCCGGTGTGTTAGAACATGTCCGGCCATCAGAAGTATCGTGTATCACGATCTTGTTGTGTCCAAAACGAATCTCGTAGCAAGATTTGGCTGCACAGCTGCTACAATCAAAGAAACTCCCGGTATGTTAAAACATGTCTGGCAACAAATGGTCCATCGGTGTCAGGCATGTTTGGCATCTGATGGTGCAAACATCGAGCATCTGTTGTAACATTCAAGCTGTCCTACACCATTTGTATTCATGTCCAATAAATGTTTCAAATTAATCAATGTTGTTTCTTTTCCCATCTTCTATTTCTGCTACCACTTACCCCTGACATTTCCGAGCATGGGTTCTTATGCAATTCTTAATCGTTATGATGTACCCTACCTTCCCTAAAAGTTTGTTGCAACATTTACAGTACACCCTGTATATGGGCATGTATTTTAAAAATTGATTTTTAGCTTATAAACATTATTTTGTATTAACCGATTTAAGTTTTACAGTGGCTTATTAATTGGTAGGCTGCTGTATTGTATAATTTATTTCTATCTTGTCATTCTATATCTAACCAAAATGGTGTATGTATATAGGGTGTCTCCAAAGCACTAACTTTAATATGCCCCTTTAGAAAGTGAAAAATATTTTTGCTTACTTAACCCTTTTGGTTTTAATGGACACATACATTCCAGGGTAGATTTCATACCCTATTTGGGTAAATGAAATCCACTTTTAAATGGGTTTTTACATTTGCAGTGTTTTTAAGAATTAGGGAACAAATATATTACTAAAGAAACCTGGCAACACTTTTAGATTGCAGATGGCGCACTCATGTTTTTAAGCACGCTGATTACTCAGGTTTCGATTTGTCTAATTTTTTTTTTTTTTTTTTTTTATTTTGCCATAAGTACAATTATATTTAAGGCATAATTAGTATGAAAGACTTTTTATTGTTCTTATTAAAGTAGTAATTTAACATTTTTTATGTCAGATTTAAGAAATTTTGAATAAATTTTTTTTGTGGGATATATTGTCCCAATAGTATTTAACAGTGGGCTAATAGATGGAGACAAACACCTGTGAAAAAGTATGATGTATTTCGCATCTGCAGTACAGCAGCACAACCTGCAACAGAAGTCTGCCACCTAGTGAGTGTGAAGAGGAAGGTATCGGTCTCTAAACAGCAGTCACCTGTGTTGCATGCTTCGATTGAACTGTCTGTGAGAAGTTGAAATATCGGACTGTCAGAGTTCCAAAGAGGAATGATAGTTGGAGCACGTTTAAGTGGAGCATCGGTTACGGAAACAGCAAGCCTTGTGGGTGTGCAAGGAGTAGGGTATCAGCCGTTATGACAGCATACACAAAAGAGGGGTAAGACGACATCTTCAAAGCACAACAGTGGTCAAAAGTCAAAGCTGGCTGATAGGGATAGACAGGTCTTAAAGCGCATAGTAGCCCGAAAGCAGAAGCAATCGTTATCCGAGATAACATCCGAAATGAACAATCATCTCCAGGACCCTGTTTCAACAAAAACTGTCAAAGGGGAACTTCATGCTGTGAACATTTATGGCAGAGTGGCAATTTGTAAACCCTTGGTGACAGCAACTAATGCTTTCAAGCGACGCCAATGGTGCAGAGATCACAAAAGCTGTCCTCCTCAGCAGTGGCAACAGGTAATATGGTCAGATGAATCGTCATTCACCCTATTTCATCAGACGACCGGACGCGTTTATGTCTTGAGAACGCCCAAAGAAGCATGTTTCATCCGGACTGCCTTTTGCCTACTGTGAAGCATCGGGATGGCGCTATTATGGATGGATGCGATATCTTGGCGCGGTCTTGGGGCACTTGTTATTCTGCATGAGAGGATCACATTCAATCACTATCTAAGCATTTTAGGGGATCATGTCCATCCTTTTGTCCAGGCTGAATTCCTTGGAGAGTGAACGCTTTTTCAAGACGACAATGCCCCTATCCACACTGCTAGGTGTATTTAAGAATGGTTCGAAAAGCATGACAATGCAATTAAACATCTCGCTTGGCCCCCCCTCAATCTCCGGACTTGAATATCATTAAACATTTATGGGCATATTTGGAGTCCAAACTTTGTTCCCGATTTCCACCTCCATCCGGACTTTCGGAATCACTGTGCTGGAGGAATGGTTTAATATTTCTTTAAATAATGTCCATGACCTTTGTGCATCTATCCCACATTGCATTCAATCTGTACTTCAGTCAAAGGGTGGTCCAACCCCCTATTAATAAAGATTTTCCATTATTTCACATGTGTTTCTATTATTTTGTTCTCCATCTGTATGTCCCACCAATTATCAACTGCATACTGATATATTGTGTTTCTGTTTCTGAAACATATATGAAAATTTCTGTTGTATATGAACTGGTGCACGTGACAAAGTTTATGTTTTGTAATATTCTTATTATATATTACCGTAAATTTTTGTTTTCTGGGGGGGGGAAAGGTAATATCCTAGACGATTGGTACAAAAAGTCCCAGTTTTGGGACACATTGTCCCAGGATGTTTTCAGTACGGGAAAAGTTAAAAACTTTAAACCCATATTACACTCCTTTTAATATATCAACATTAAATTAAACTACTTTTCATAGTTAAATTTTAATCGTGCAAAAGTCGGGTTGAAAAGATTAAAACAGGCAGATGTTCTAATTATGAATAGACTTGATTTGACTTGGCAACAATGTTGTTTTAACACTATCAGTTCATTTGGCAGTTTAGTAGATATGGAGCGTTACGCAAGGGAACAACAAGTTTTTATTTTGTAAGCTCGTTAGAAGGATGGAAAGTCTTGACTGTTAAAAAGTCTCATGTAGTCTTTGGACTTGAGAGTGTACTCGGTAAAACAACAGTTTGCAGATTGATAAAGAAATTTGAGGCTGAGGTTCGACTTCAGGCATTAAATCACTGCACTCTGGATCCAGTCTGTTTAAAACATCACTGTCGTAAGTAACAGTATTATTGCAGGTCACAGAAAATCTAAACTTGAAATCCTAGAAATGAAATAACATAAAAATTTAGTATGTCAACAGCCACACTTAACTCCCTTCGCGCCGACTATCACGTCTACGTACCAGCAACGAACACATTCACTTCCCGGCCAACACGCAGGCGTGCCAGAGTGTTTTCCCGTTCAGCCCCGACTGTCACATATTTGTGCCAGTGTCCTGGAATGTTTTAAAAACTATAATTTCTGCCACAAGATGGCACTGTGTGTACATATGTTTCGGATACATGTACATTAGAGCTTCTACTCTAAATGAGAGAAGCATGACTCACATACACGGTGTTTTTGATTATAAACAAAAGGGGAAATAAATGTTTCCCAATGGCGTGATTTATGATGTCTCTTTAAATTCGCACGTGGTAGTTGTTTATTGTAAGTAGAGAAGTTTTATTTTCGCTAAAGCGTTGGGTATTTATTCAACAAAAAAAGTAAAAAAAATCTTCCTTTCCTGAATTATTGGCTTAATTTAGTTAATCAAGTTATTTATCGGTATTCCTCTAAAA